ATATTTATTCAATTTTTTGTTACTAGGCTAACTATAGAAGTAGAACATATTGTCATGTGTCTTTTCGGATACTGAAACTTATTGGTAGTTATCACACTAATATTATAACTTTCGTTGTTTGGATGTTTGTCCAGTAATCACGCTGAAACTACTGAACGGATTTTGATGAAATTTTTGGTGTACAGGCAAGATAAGGGTTGACTTAGGTGATATGATACTTTTATCCCGATTAAATCCTTCCATGGGATAAATCAGGAATTATATTCTACGCGGACGAAGTCACGGGTAACAGATAGTTTATTATACATTACGATTCAGTAATTCACAAATTATTATTTAGGTACAGTGATTTCATTAAAAAATAACTTGACACTGTCCCATGGTCGTGCAATTCGCAAAACGCGTAAGTATTTGGTTTTGCTACGACGCCGACGAAGTGAGTTACTGAGTTCTGATATGAAAGGAATCAACAGATTGTGGAATCAGTAGATTGTAGCACTACGCGTTGATGGCTAAGATACGTTTGTAAATAGTTTTTATTGTGAAAAATGCATTATACAATTCTACTTTTATTTATTGTACGTAGTAAACTAAAAATGAAATGATGCGACGTGAAGTTACGACCGTGCTTTCTCAAAAAGATAGACAGTAAATATAATCAGGACAAGAAAAGCCTTAATCCTGCTTGTATGCAGCCGTTTTTTACTGAAAATTTCAGGTAATTTTATAACAACATTATAAAAATCTAAGCTACGGTTTATGACATCTTATTTTAGCTCTTAGAACTATCAAAAAGATACTTGCTAGTTTCTTGGTACGTAAGATGAAAGGAAACCCGACACAGTACAAAGTAGAGATAGGTCATGTGAGTACCGACAATGGCAGTGACTTCTAAAGTCACCGGTGACTCTAATTTGTGGCAGTTCAGACCAGTTCACGCTAGAACTGCTCATTCAAATGGAGAGGTCGAGTCTCCAAGGGCCGTGCAGGGTCAATATCTCGTGACTTGTACGAAGGTAGGATGGAGCATCACTTCCTGAAAGTTGTTTGGATCGTGAAATTGATTCTGGGAACAATTTGTAGTAGGCTAACTAGGGGGAATATTATCTACGCACAAATTTGGACGGTAAAAATGCCCGTTCAGTATTTAAAATCTGACTATCTGTGGTCGTTTCGAGTGACATTGAAAAACTTTGACAATTAATTGATTCGGATATTCGAATTTGAAAAATATCTTTCGAACATCTTAAATTGTGATCGGTTTAGTGACTTCAGGAAATTGTTTAATGTTTTGAATACATTTGAACGTCAGGCTAGTATACATGTAAGCTATTTCCTCGTTCTTTGAAGTCAGTTTAACTAGAAATCAATTGATTACTTGCTCTTTTTCATTGAGAAAAAGTTGTTAATTTTTTAACAAAGTAGGTACTAAAGTACGCTAATCATTCGCATAAAGACTAGGCTCGCAGACAGCCACAGGAAGTATTTAGTTAGGAGACAAGTCTATCGCGTCTGGTCGTTTAATTAACCAAACAAATCACGTCGTCTTGTCGGGAAAATGAAATCTTTTCTACGAATCGTTTAGATCGTCTATAGTGGTATTATTGAGTTGTGTAAAAACCTAATCAGCGCATGGTAACACTAGAGGATCAGTTTTCTTGAAAGTTTTATCTGACATTAAACTCAGTACCTACTCAGAGTAGTGCCTTTGCTATTAATAGTGTAATGATTGTTGAAAGGTGTGAATAATACGTAATACTTCACCGACTCATTACCAGTACCTACTTGAACTGTGTTTACTGTACACCGTGACACATTTCTCGGTTGACCTAGGCATTGTAGGCGATATGACCAGTATTAGAAACTCATTTCCTATTACGTTAACTGCCACTTAAGAGCTAGACTTAAAACTAGCTTTGCTGCTGTCATTATTAGGACAACTTTCATGCTTTGGCCATAAATAGGTCTCTGTCTAGCTTTTTGGTGTTGTAAGCGTGTTATAATAGCGGTCAGAAACCATGACAGCTATTCAAAATTCGAATGAAAAATTAATTTCAAAATTAGAACGTGTCTTTATTGTTTTCGAATGTAAATAGTGATGTCCCGGTGTTACTAATTGAATGAACTGATTTAGTCGATTTATTAATCGTTTTAACTATAATGAGACCACGTTTAAAGTTATCGCGTTCTTCCATGGCCATAACAATGAGTCTCAATACATTGACCTTTCATACACGCGGCAAACAGTTAAGGTATGAAATAGAATTTATCGATAATAAATGGCGCTTTTCATATTAATTTTCTTGGCGTAAACATTGTAACAAAATTTATATTGTAACGTGAGTATTTTACTTGTAAATACGTCAGTTTTATTGCCTTTTGTTGTGTTATTAATTTCATGGTGTACAAACGTGTAGGTACTATATTTTCTTAAATCGATATTTCGAATAGAAATCACGTTTCTTGAACGATCCATTAACAGAACTAGATGTTTTTTTAAAGCAGTTTTTTAAACTTCCGCGCTATAAACGGAAAATAAAGGAAATCGTTTGATGTTTGTGTTAACTGAGCTCTAGATTTTGAATGCATTTTTATAGTCGATTGAAATGTTCACACATAAAACTTTCATTGGTTACCGACCGATATATTTATAATTCATTCCAGTTTTTTTTATTAAGTAGTTCCTATGTGGTTATTTAAAAAAACGTTTTTATTACGTTCCAGTAATGCAGGCTAGTTCGTAAATGTTCAATTATAAACTTTATGATAATTGAATTGTTAAAGAAACTACTTTATTATCTACCTATTAATTAATACTGCATAACAAATATTAAATGTATGCGAATTTTATTGCCCATTATTTTATCAATACCTATAGACATAAGTTAACTTAAGCTCGTTACTTTCTGTAAATATCAAAAAAAATATTTCTTAATTAAATTCTTTGTCAAATTAAGTAGTCATTTTCAACTTTAGGTCTTTGACCTACTTTCCGAAATAACGTTTGTCACACTGCGTTCGTAATTAATATTTAATTACAAAAACTATTAATTTGGTGATAAGGAATGTATTTAAATTCTGCGCCGCTAATTCAAAATTATGATGAACGCAATGTTGAATTTAAAATAAAACAGAAATAAAAAAACACAGAAAAGAACTTACCATTTTAATTGCCATGAGCAAAAATAAATTTGTCCAATGTATTGAATAAATCATACATAAAACACTACTGCACTACGTTCATTTGAAAACTTTTATCACAGTTTGTAACTTTTTAAAAAAATATGTGCACATCACTAAAAATTATTTTTTAATATTTTTGTATCGATTCCATGGCGGGCGCGCGCCGTGCGGGTGCTATGAGCGACTAGTGTTGCCCGCGACGTGCTCCATACTGCACGGGTATCGGCTCGGCCACATAATGAAGCGTCCGATTAGACTGAACCGCTTTATTGGAATTCCATCGAGTTTTCGCTCATCATCGCCTCCAGTAATAAATACGTTTGTGAACTAATGAAATGCTTGATAGTTGTAGATAAGCCTACTTTGGTTGATGATGTTAACCAAATAATTGCGACATGTAGTGTGGGTTACATACGTTATCATGCCAGACACGATTTTGGCGGTACATGGAAATTGCAAGGCCAGGGTAAAACCTGTGAAAATGTTGTTTGTAGTTGACAATGTTAACTGTGAGTAGGTATAATGTACCTAACTTGTTTAATATTATGGATTTTAATAGTTTGAGGCTTAGTAATTCTGTAAATAATTTACTGAGTGAAATTATGTTGCTTGGAATTTATGGATTTTTAATTTAATATTTTAGTTTTCTAGATTTATTTCTTAAATACTTAAATAATCTTGGGACAAAACATAATTAAATTTGAATTCGCATAAATATATTATATTCAACGATAATAAAAATATCAGTAACTTCAACCATTTTTACATGGGTCAACCAGACACTACATTTTTCTTTGAGAGACTAAAACCACGTGATCGACGGAGGCGTGTATTATCACCACATAAATTGGATACAGACAATGGTACATTAACACCAGCTAGACTGTCGCCACCGGTGCCAGACACACGATACCAGACTCATGGGCTGACCTATTAAACACTAATTTACTAACAGATTGATACACATCACTAATTCTATTTAGTCGATGTTGGTTGGCACTCGACTATGATTGGTATTATGATTTAGGTAGTCAAATAATTGGATTGATTGATTTGTTTTTTGATACTTTTTTCTAGGTATTCATTTTCGTTTGCATACCTAGTTAATTTCTTCTACCTAAATACATACATATTATTTTAACGATTGCACGGTTGGAGCGGTGGCTGGGCGACCGGCTGACAAATTGTTGTTTCGGGTCTGGGTGTCATGTGTATGTGAACTTGTGTATGTAAACGAACCCATAACACAGGAGAATATCCCAGGGCGGGGCAATGTTTCATAATAAAAATAATAACAAAAAAAGAGGTAATATGCCTATCAGTGAGCACATTCGTAATATAAGTACCTATATTAAGTACCTAGTTACCACTGATTACTGAAATGAGTATGTACCTAAAACCTATTACAGGAATATTTCAGTTAGTGTTAACCTTATCGCGATATGAACAATGAACATTATTACCTAAATATTGGTAGATTACTTGGTATTTTACGTGTACCATTAGCATTACATTTTCTCATTTAATTTATGGATATAATAAGGTACCTATAATAAGGTATAATATTACATCTACCTCTATAATAAGGTACCTACAGGTACAAAAATAACAAGCGATCTTATACTCTCTTTACTCGGTAGAAAAAAATGATTGTATACTGACAAGTTATTAAGAGAGCTGGTATTTGATGCGGCGAGTATAATTTAAAATGAAAAAGAGATAGAGCTAGCTAGCTCTCAACAGTATCATTTCAACTCACTGTGAGCGAAAAGAGACTGGAGTGAGAGTTTAATAGAATGGAGTGAGGGAGAACTTACCGCGAGCAGAGTGGGCAGGGCGCTTGCCATGCGCATAGTCGCAGCGCGGCGGGAGCGCGGGCGGCGCTAAGTGACGGAGGCGGCGGGCGGACGGGCACGCGCGGGCCGCATCCGGCCGCCCTCCGGTGCTCTACCACCGTCGCGACGGCATCGCGCACCTATGGATACGAGAAAAAAAATATATTATTTTCTAGAAAAAAATATGACTTCATTTTTAGTAAGGCGAACGACAGAAGAGTGCTAACGGATTACGGTAATCTTAAGCAAGTAAGGAAATCCTAGGTAGGTAGATATCTAGAAAAAAAGTAATTCATTCGGGTTTTACTTAAATTTCATGATTACTTTCAATTTAATGACATCACATAACATTAGGGAGGAGTCAATCAAAGGTATAGTAGGGCATCGTAAACAAAAGAACAAAGATGGCGCCGATAGTAACAAGAGCGCATGTGCAAATATATTAAGGGACGTTTAAGCTCCTCCCATAAATTTTCCCTACGGTAGCTGAATGCCATAGACACATGCATTACATTTCCATATTTTTTTTATTCAATCAATATTACACAATTGCAATCATTCGTCACACTAATCAAATTTTCCTTATAGCCAAAAAAGACGCAAGAATTTAATCGTACTTGCTCAATTACGTCACTGTCAAAATCAAAGTCCAACTCTAGTGTTACAATCTGACGTATGACGTCACACTTCACGCCTCCAGTGGAACGTCACAGGATATGTCTGTTGATAACCGTCATAATCTTTATATCAGTGGCGCCAATATACTGTAGTTAAAATATTTGTCAGATGAATAATTTGATAAACTTACAAGTATTTATCGATAACACAATCTGTGTATAAAAATATTTTCATTCTATCGCTGTTATGTTTTCACTAGAATTTTAATCAGTCATCGCATTTTTTTGTTAGTTTTTTTTTTATTCCGGAACCAGGATCCGGTGGGTAATGTAATGGCCGTCATCTAAACAAACAGGATGGTTGACTAGATGGTGTTTGTTATTGCAAGTGTTGCGAATTTGACTCAACATGCAGCTTATTAGGTATAGTTTTTGGAAACGTGAATAATATCCAGCAGGGTAACGCTAATGGACTTTTAGGGCAATTTGCCAAACCAATTGCAGTAGGTATATGTAACTTTATCTGTGTTAGTTACTTTTTTGAGGTTATGAGTCAGTAAGAGTCCGACAGTCCCCTTCGTTCTTCCTAGGAGAAGGGGCTCCACGAAGACTTATCTTAGGGTAACAAAAGAAGGTATCTGGCGATTATGATGTGTCTAATCTAAGGATTTTGATGTGATAAACGATAAATAATGAAGCGAATTATGGGTAACGTAATACGGTCGTTACAGCTAATTAGCAAAAAGTGGGTTCCAAATAAAATCCACACTAATTTAGCATTACTGCTCGTTGGCCAAGTGGTCGCAAGTGCGACTGCCGGGCCGTGGGTTTCGACCTCGATTCCCGGGTCAGGTAAAGTATTGGTGGTTTTTTCTTTTAATTTTCAGTTGTAGCACGGAGTATGGAATTGTGTTCGATATATGGCAATAGGCTCACCCACTATTACAAGGGACTCATAATATAAATAGTGAAAAGTGGGTGTTACATTGCACAGGGCAATTAAGTGCCGTAATGTGCTCCTCTGCCAACCCTTTCGGGGACAAAAAGGCGTGATGTTAGGTTATGTAATTTAGTATTACTTTACTTAACTTTAGGTTTATTTCTAGGTAGTGACAGCGTGATATATAATAATATAGCGTTATTAGATAATATAATTTCACTCTATGCGCCCTTTTTACAGCATATCGGGGAAAAACTGATGTGATGTTGCAGATTATTTACAGTGATAAGTGGTGCCTCGTACATAATTGTGATAACTTACAATACATAGTTAAGTGATTAACTTATTGATCGATGGGTAGTTGTTCAGGGATTAATTGCAATTCCAGTACTTTATTACAAAGAATTGGGAGATTATTATGATAATTGCAGTCCATATTTGTCTCGATTTTATCTTTATAAATATCTTCGTCTGATTATCGCAAAACTAAACGCAGTTCGTTTCGTACATCTCTTTATTATCATATCTTATTTTTATTTTTGCATTTTTAATGGTATAAGCCGACTAACGAGCAGATGGATTACCCTGACACTTGAACTACCAGAGCCATTTTGGGGGTTAGGATTCAGGGATTAGGGAGATTGGGGTAGGGGGGGGGATTGGGCAACGAAACACCACGCAAGCGTTGTTTCACGTCGGTTTTCTGTAGTATCACATTTTTACACGCATGCATTTTTCCTCTGCATAAGTACCTACGCAGAGGAACGTAAGTCACTCCGTCTTCACGGGTCACGGGTTATTCCTCATGAGCAGCACTGAGCTCACTGAGCTCACTGACTTCACTGAGCAGCGCGACGTCGCCGCGACCGCGCACGCTGCTCATGAAGAAGAACCCCTCTGTGTTTCGAAAATAGTAGAGCTTTTCTCAGTATATTCACGTGAGTAACCCACGATTTTAGTTAATTTAGTATGTCTCACGATAGTTATTATAAAAAAATTTTAGGATAATCTCCTGTCTCATTTACAATTTAATACATACATATTTGAACCTGTCATACACAGCACAGCTGATCGACTTGAACACACGAGTACAATTAGGTAATTATTAATAGCAACAGTGAGACATTGTATACAACAAACACGTGTCATAATTACATTTACGGCGTATTTTGTAAAGTAATTAACACGGGAGTAACGTATTTCGCAACTAACAATAAACTTACTGTCGCACTATTATCGATATATCGAGTATTTATGGTCATGTCTGTCTGTTTCATAAACCAGTAAGGAGTAAATCACTAATCGAGATTGCTTGTGGAGATCGGATTACCTACTTTATTAAAATGTTTTTTAAGATCGTAAGGAAGTAATGGCATAAAATTATAAAGCTTTTTAACAAATATTTGTAAGGTGTGAAGTTCAGTCTAGATTCTAGATTAAGTAACGTAGGTCGAAGTATCGTAAACAGGGTTCGAAAGACACTCTATAGGTACTACAAAATTGTCGGATTTGATATGTCGGTGAATTTTCAGTCTTGATTCAGAGCCAGGTCTCCGGTCGAGCTGACCCATTCGTTAGGAGTCCCAGACCGACACGGTCTCACAGAAAACCGACGTGAAACAGCACTTGCGTTGTATTTCGTCGTGCGAGTGAGGTTATCAGAGAGGCCCAATTACCCCCTCCCCAATAATCCTAAAATTCCCAATTCCCCAAAAGACGGGTAACGCATTTGTAACGCCCCTGGTGTTTCAAATGTCCATGGCGTGAGCTACGGTGATCCGTCTGCTAGTTTACTGGCTTATCCTATACAAAAAACACATTGCTTATGTATTCTGTCTATAACCACTTCTCTAAACATTCTGCATACCAAATGCTTCCTAACTTTATTGCTTGTCAACAGCCTAACCCACTACATCAGCCAATAGACATACAGATCATTTAATTAGAGATGATGCACGCAAAACAAATGACACGCTGTCTGATATAGAATCGTGACGTAATCATATGACAATGTGACATGTCGTGTTTGAGTACAGGCGGATCTGGTGTTTGGTGCCGATGAACTGACACATCCTTGTCTATTGGTACTTGATGCTTGTATAAAGTTGCCGGATCTATTTCTGTACTTGAGGACAGTTTTAGACCTTAGCAGGTTGAAGGTTTTTTTCTAAGGGAAGGAAAATCATCGAATGCTCTCGCCTGGGTGAGGCGGGAGTGAGTGTCAGACTCTTACTGACTAAAAACCACCCCGTTACTTCTCCTGCACGCCGAGCCGGAGCTTCGGTAACCCGTTAGGTTCTCCGCGACTCCGAAAGGTTGAGGGTTACTTCAGTGAAATTCAATACATTTTTCGAACTAGGTATCGAAAACGACAGTTTTCTATGTATTTTATACTGTGAGATTGTGTATTGTGACGTCACGTTTTTTAGCGTCAAACAGCATACCTACATATTTCTTAAAAAAAGCTGGAAAAATACTAAAATTCAGTTAGTCATAAAATCAATTACTGAAAGTGTGATTATTTTATATATTTGATTGTGTTAAACAGTAGGAATAATTCATTTTTGATTAAGGCAAGTACCCCTATTTATAGTTTGGATTTTAACCTTTCGTGTATAAGATATAAGTACGTATATAAGACACAATACAAAACAAATTGTGTCTATCGCTAAAATTTAAAATGTTAATGTCAGTACGGAAGCTAGGAAACGAAAACAATTTGTGCCCAGCTGTGGTATGTGTGGCCATGCTAGCCTGCAAGCGATGAGCGGGTCAGATTCAAATGAATTAAATATGGAATAATAATAGAATATACTAGAGAAAAATAACATGGATATTCAGCTATGGTATTTGACTGGAAAGGATTTGACAAATATAAATAACTCAAAAACACTTGACAATCAAGACACAATATAACTCTAAATATTATTTATTCACGTTTATTCTACATATAAGAAAAAAGAGGTGGTTATATTTTTTTAAATAACAGTTAAATCTATGCCAATCTGTGAATTGTGATGAATTTTTAACATTAGTTGTATGGAGTTTCTGTTAAAAACTCAGATAAATACAGAAATTTTAGCTTACATTTTAGCTTAAACATAACATAATATCACTGCACAATGTAACACCCACTTTTCACTATTTATGTTATGAGTCCAATGTAATAGGAGGTGAACCTATTTTATTATATATTTTACCTTAAAATCGGTTATTAATTCCAGCCGTATCTAAACCGCTACCGCTGATGACCCGCCGCTATTTATAAGACAGCAGCCTCACATATTTGTTCATAAAACGTAACTGTGAAACCACAACTACGTATCGACATGTGAAAATAGCAAAGTTCGAAGTGTAATACAAACGTAATTATCGTAAGTCTAAAAATATACAGATGTCCGCAAATAGAGCTACCTTGTTGACATATCGCATGCCGGCAGTTCACCATCAATGTTAATTACAAGTCTCTAATTTATTGTTCGAGGCACGTATTGATTTGATTGATTAAGACGTGATATTGTGTTTCTAAATCTCAGAAGAAAGGAGTAAATATAGAGTTTTATAGTTATTTTTTTTTATGGCA